ATACATCTGGCATGTATGAGTGATACGATTTCGTGTAGGGACGTTGGTTACAGATACCAGTAATTTATAATAGGAAATGCTCTATCCCACCAGGATAAACGATAGTTACATATTATTTATATCACGACTCATAATTAAAGTCCGTTACAGGCACACACAATGACAATTAAAGATGTATTACAGTAAATAAATGTCTCAACACCTTTTCTATATTCATTTGATAAAGAAAACGCTTACCGAAACACAGACAAGGCAGAATCGTTACCACAAGCACAAACAGCTCCATCCCTGGGGAAAACATGGCGATAACATGTTAAATTACAAATGTTTTGATTAATCTTCCCTTTCCTACATCGACGAGTGATATATTTATGATAAATATAAGTCCTTACTTCCTTTGTTCTTGAGAATAAGCTGGATTTGTATCAATCTCTTAAGTGTATATATTTTTCATGATTTACATGCTATTACTAATTTTAACAGTGAACCTATTTACCCCTGATGTAATGTGTCATTACGATTAGATACATCTTTACTGTATCATGTATAAGCTGAATATTTTGCTGGACATTAAAGGTATATGTCTTTCCTAAATAGACATATTGATCCAAAGGCTCATCGATGACAGTGAAGCCAATTGGAAATTTATTCTTAGAAAATATTTTGAATATAATTTTTGTTTCCAAAAGATTCGGAAAACGGTAAAAGAAAATTTAACACGATTTAGATATACTAAAAGTATGGATTAAAAATAATAAACACATGTAGAATTTCTGACTAAACATTTTAACATAGGAAAACAAATCTGAAGGGGGAATCAATATCTCAAACACAAAGGGGATGCATTATTTTTACAAATGTAGTAGTATTTGTATACTGTATTTTCAGGTAAGCACTCCTGGGTTCCGTAGAATATGCTTTTGACATGTATAATATCGGGGGATCGTCTCGAGTGGTGTTTTGTGTAAATGAATTCGTTCTGTACATAATTACGGCGTTGTTTCCTTTCGTTACGCAGTCATACATGTCATAAACATAATCTAAGGAACCGAGGAGTGGTTACCTGAAAATCCACTATACGAAAACTACTACACTGATGCCGTGATCTTCTTCTGGCAATCCGGTAGAGTTAAGTTGACTATATTGATTATAGACAATTTAATGCAGCAACCAAAAAGGATGCGTTTCCTTAACCCTGTATTGATGATGCTTTCGATGCACTGGCTGGGTCCAAGCGGTTCACTACACCTGATTTTGTCAGTGGTTACTGGCAATGTGGTATGAATATATCCGACAGAGAGAAGACAACATTTAGTATTCACAAAGGCTTGTTCGAGTTTAACGTAATGCCCCTGCTACGTTTTCCAGACTCACGCAACTTGTTCTTAAAGGCAAAAATTTGTCCCAAGTCTTTGAGTTACCACATTTGAGATTACCCTCCACAATCTTAAAGAGATATATTCCAGTGTATACGGGAGGCAAACTTGAAACTGAAACCCAAGAAAAGCGAGTTGTTCAGATCCAAAGTATCATACCTAGGTCATGTTGTGTTGTGTCAGATGAGGGTATCAGCTGTGATCCTGCCAATGTTGATGTTGATGCTGTCCGGGTATGACCACGCCCTGGGAACACAGTTTCCTGGGTATGGCCGGGTACTACCGTAGATACATTCCACGGTTCTCCAATGTAGCATCCCCTCTTACACATATCACCAGGAAAAATAGGTCATTTGAGTGGTCAGAGGAATGCGAGCAGGTTGTTTGGTTGATGGGTTTATCGCCTGAATGATTTCAACCATATATGGGTTTCGTCTCACTGACGGAAGTCGATGTTCTGTCGACGTGAGGGGAAGTATATATATATGTTTGTTATGTACCCCGGGTCTCTAACTACCGGTTATGCCCGACAGTAGAGAAACGTCTCTGCTTCCGTTAGGTACAGTACTTGTTTTCGTTGTCAGGCTTGGCCTGAGTCTGAGATTATCCGAGGAGTCCCCTATGGTGTATGCGGGTTTTTACCTTTTATTCTATGTTGTATGTTTATATATATTAGAAAAAAAAGTTGAGATAAATATTTGAGCAATCAAAAAGTAAAATTTGGCAGATAGGAAGCGGATACCGAAGAGGGCCTTAAGGGAGGGATGTATAATTTACTGAGCTAATAATATATATATACAAATGTATTACATGTTCTATTATTTATAAAAAGATGTGAGAATGATGTCTTATATGGCATGGGTCTAGGAGGAGGGCGTGTCTACCATATCCAGGGTGTCCTTTAACTATAGCCTACTTTATTTTGTGTTTTGTTTTGTTTCTATATTTTAGAAGTCCGTCGAATCGTTTAAATATGTTACCTAGCCTAAGCCTATCCTCTGTGCCGGCGTAACCCGCCTACTCTTTCGACAATACACAGAGGGATTTTTCGCCGGACTGAGAGGGATTTTTCGCCGGACTGTATGCTATTGTTAAGTGGTTAGTGTCATGCAGGTGCTAATTAATATTTTTGGCGTTTATTCTCTTGAAACTGAATCTAGTTCTTGCACACTGGAAAACTATCCTCCGTTACAAATGTTCTCGTTCTTATTCATTGGCTTTCGTCTTTTACTGTTTTCTGTTCTGACATTTATAATTATGTTTGTGAGTTTTATAATATATTAGTTGGGGGGGGGGGGGGGGGGGGGGGGGGGGTGACGGGTTTGTGCATTGGGTTTTCATATAGGGTTATATTAGTGCATCGATAGTTATTAGATCAGGATTTTAATGAGGTATGTATATGTTTTAAGGAGGTGGAGGGGTTATAGAGGTTACACAACGAGTGGTTGTTGAATATGGTATTTATTTCACTCGAGTTAGTTAATTTTCAAAAGTTACAAAAGACACCAGCTTTAGCGAGTGTCTTTCTGTAACTTTTGAAAATTAACTAACGAGAGTGTGATCTGTTTCTTCCACAATCTCATGATCAGTCGGAAATAACATACACACATGTGTGTGGTTGTTGTCAAGGCTGGCGTAGTGATGTGACCCATATGTAAAAAGTCATTCATTAATATTCAAAAATGACTTTCTTTTGTTTACAAATTTAGTAATTCTCAAAATTAATGTTTCGGCAACAACTTCATGAAAAAATATAAAAGATGAACGACTTTAAATATTGAGAGTAGCAGTATTGTATTAATTTATATAAATTGACCACGGACTATATGCGCTTAAGCATATCGATCGTACGAAGTCTGCCTCCCGCCAAGTGATGAAGACGAACTTATCGCTGTCAATGTCTAAAAACATAGGACTACGTTTCTTCACGACGGTTCTATGGTTGGCGTTTATAGTGAAAATTCAGCCATAGCCAGGCCGACCAAATACGGATAACGGGACGTTGGGAGAACGAAATATTTTCCGACACTGTGACGTCGAAACGATATCGAGCGTCTGAAACTAGCGATCAAATCTTTAATTATCATCTTCTTTTAATATTGCCCTAATAACCTCCTTTTCCGCATAACGCACACAGTCACCAACATTTGTCGGATGTTGACAGCAAAAAGCGCGTGGAAAAAGTCGTTCCGGTCAAAGTTCATATTCTCGACCAATCGAAAGTCTGCCTACTGATAACTCTCACCAATCTCAAATAAAACAGGCTGAGGTACTCGCAGTATAACATCATTTCTACCACAATACGCAGTGTTATTCCACTCTCAGATCATTGTATAAACACGCAGACTGTTAGAAAAATATGAGTTATATACCACACGTGGTAAATGACCTTCAAGACTTTTGATAGGTAGGCGTGGGTAGTGTAGGGAGTGGGTCATAGGTTTCTATTGAAATTAAATATGCTTTTTGCTAGATTTATTGTTAGGCCACAGAGTCAAAAGTAGGTGTTGTTTTGGGTTTGTCAGGTTCGAATGAATTTCGGATTGTGATTTCCCCTTTGTATTGGCGTTATCTTTCTACGATTCATTTATTTGGTTTATTAGGTATTTTCATTATACGCAGCCGGCGTGTGGTCCTCGTGGCTGGTACAATGATATTTTCTGGGTGCTTTTCTAAGATTAGCGCATTTGTTTTTACTGTACCGGATCCAATAATTGGAGCCGCATTTGTTGTTTTATTTGGTAAGAGTTCTGATGGACATGTTCGTCTTTTATAAAGGATGTTTCAAGGAAGAAGCAGATATCAGACATGAAAAATATCAAAAACTATGTAAAATCGTATCCATTCAACTTCTTTTTCTACGGAGCCCGTTAACTGACATGCTACACACTTATTTTATTTCGTTTTATCGAATTGTTATTTCGTTTTTTCGAATTATTATTTCGTTTAAACTTATATTTTAAGTTGATTCCGGACTTCGGCAGATTATCATATCATTGTTTGGAAACAACATTTTTATGGCCTGCTTTACAGCACTAATCCTGGACAACCTTATGCCTGGTAGGTCAGGTTTTCTTTGACATTAACCTGGTATGGAACCTGTGTCGTTGTTTATGGGAAAAAAATTAGAAAATGTCTGTAAGACATAAATACCCACGCGGCCATATGAATTAGAAAATGCTAAGATTAGTATTAATTACTCCTATAGTTAATTTTGCATTCTCATGAAACCTTACAGGTGTACATTAGATCATTTGCCATTGGAATAGTACACTAATATTGTTCCATGAAGTTACTATAACCCTTTGTGTGTGAGAAAATATGTCACAGCCCATAGTTACTCAGAAAACATGCATTTCAATAATACTTTGCTGCAATTTAATCTTAACATATTTTTTTGTGCAAGAAAAAACATCTCTTGATTTTCGATATAGTTCAATTATGTCCATGTTGTTTTCTTTTACATTAATTTTGCAGTTCAATTTTAGAATGTGTGATGTGGTAAAGATTACTGATAGCATTTCTATAGAGCTGTATAAAGGTTTGGTTTGGTTTGGTTTAGTATTGTTTAACGTCCTATCAACAGCTATGGTAATTTAAGGACGGCCTCCCCTGTGTGCAAGGTATGCGTGTGTGTGTTGGGAGGCTGCGATATGTTCGTGTTTGTCTCCTTGTGATAACGCGGAATTAATGTCGACTTTATAGTGCTTCATCACCGAGAAAACACATTATACTGACAACGGGCGAAACTTGCACATAGGAGAGGCCGTCCTAAAATGATCGTAGCTGTTGATAGGACCTTAAACAATACTAAACCAAACCAAACCAACCCTTAATTGCTGAGCGTTAAGCAGGTGAAGAAACTTTCATTTGTACAGACTGGACCCAAAGCCTTCCTCACAGGGGCGAACGCTCAACTATAGGCAAAAAGTGAGACATTAGGGAAAAAAATTGTTTAGAAAGAAGAGAAATGATAAGATCCCAAATTTAGTCGCCACTTACGATCATGAAATGGGGGTAGCAGATACAATTATTATGCCCTACCTGCAAGGACCGTATACAGAAGGACTTTCATGTCTCAAGTATATAGATTATCTACTTAAATATGCATTTTTTTTTTTATCTGATTAGTGCATGATGTATACATGTGCACCTGTGTACTTCACACGACCAAATTGGTACTTCATTATTTTTCTGGCAATATGGTTGTTTTTAAAATCTGAAAGAGACCTTAGAAAGTTTGAAACAAGGGGAAGAAAATTATGGGACTTCGGCGATAAGAGGCATCAGAGAGGCTTTTTATTTCAACGGCTATGGAGCAGTTAGAAGACGGCGATGATGATGACTGGTACAAGCACATCATTGTGTATTTTATTGATGAAGAGGGAATTGATGCAAGAGGCCTTAACCTAGAGGTCGTTCTTCTCTCTTTTGTTTGAGAAGTCTCCAATTTTTGAGGGAAACTCTTTCTCAATTAGGCCAGAGTTGTTGGAGAGGAAATCTGACACAGTTGTTGGTAAAGCAACTGCGAAGGCAATTATTTCAAGATATCAAGGCCTAGCCTAGCCTGTTTAAACATGCATGTTGCTATCTATATCATCACAGGCAAGGATCCAGACATCAGTACGGTAGAATATCGAAGGTATCAAGAGGTGATGAAGAGTACGCCATAAAACAGTTATATATACTAGTACCTGTATCTTGGTTGATGTACTAGTTAATCTTATCCATCTGTGAAAAGGTTGGGGTCTAGAATAGTTACAAGCATAACTGGGTCGATCATTTATTGTTTCTTCAATAAGGATCACATAGAGGTACCAATATAGACGATATATAGAAAGAAATAGATGGTTTACCCTGCAACATAAACTGTAAATGAAAGGAAAAGGTGTTTGCAGTAAACTATATTTACAAGTATTGACTTTCTCTTATGAAGAACTGAGAGTTGGGGCTATATTTTAGCCATATTTCAGTACTTTTTAATCAAGAAATGTATTCAATATAAACAAAAGTATAATTTAGTATTATTAAAAATGTATTTGCAAATAAATTACTCATCCTAATTCTGAGTTACTTTGGGTATTTATATTAAACAATTTACTAGATTTGGTAAACAATTAAAACCATACCCTTTTTAATGGGGCGTATACTGATATGGGGTATCTCTGTCCGTCCTTTTATCCACACTTTGGTTTCTTTATGATAACTTGCTTAAACTATTGTTTAGTTTTGATGTAACTAGGTAACTTCAAAGTTGAATGAACTCTCCACACAATCAACTGGTACACTAATATAAAGAAATATCTTGGTTAGTATCACTTTTCTCAGGTCCCTATTACCAAATATATGCATCAAATTAAAGTCCTTAATTGTTACATTACATGCTATCTTGATGATTAAACAAGATGGAATGCATGAAATTGTAAGGAGAGGAAAAAAGTGCATTGTGACATTACAATTGAAAATTGGCCTATTGTTATATAGATAATGGCACCGAGTCAATATCACAAACCACGTGATTACGATCCAGCCAATGAGGATGTAGGAAAAATATGTGTCATGTAATATTTAAACTTCGTCTTGGGGTAACAATTTCAATTTCTATTTCCATGGTTTGAAATATGGATAGGAGGAAGCAATTCCTCTGCAAATTTATCTTTTTCAAGTTCGTAAAGCATATTATTAAATATACACATGCATGCCTTCAACTTAATTATTATTATTGTTTTCCCTTTCACTAAATAACAGAAATATTTCTCAACATACTGAGTAAAACAGTACAACTGTGCTTTTATCTCTTTACGTTTCCATGTTTTAACAGTTTAAGATAAAATAATTCATCAAAAGGATTTTAAGTGGCTAAACCAGTTTGGTATGGGACAAGTGTATATATATCTCACTGTTGTAGTCTTCTTTCAGATATTGGAGGCAACAGGTGGAAACCTTGATGATGTGTTTTCTTCAGTTCTTCCAATTTTAGAAGTCACTTGCTTCACCAAAAGGTTAACCATTGGAAACAAGCAAGAGGCAATATCGGCTATCAAAGCACATTTTGTGCTAAACAGGATAATGGCACCCATTTATCAATTCATAAAAGGTAGGTTTGAGATAAATATCAACTGTAGTTTAAAGTAGAAGAACATGAGTATTTGTTTCGCCTGAGTTTATGCTGTGGTGCAGTGTCTCTCCTCTGTTTGTATACATTTCACAAGCCGGTTTACTTGTCCAGAATAGCTGAATGGCTTTTGACCAACTTTGGTGTGGAGTTAGGGAACTCAACAGTAGTGAATCATGAACAGTAATAAGTAAATGTATTTGGGTCTGAAGCACAATATTTGCCCTACTGATAATTTGTGCCAAATTTCAATTTTTCTTGTAAATAAGTAAAAAATGTAAATAGATTCAAGTTAATAAAAGGATAACTCCTGCAAACATTCACTATGCCCTTGGGCTTACATTTTGTAGTCAGAAAATGGCTTTGTTTCCTGGTTTTAAAATGCTCACTGTAATTGTAGGTTTTAGGTTCAAGGGGGTCCTAACAGCCCTTAGGAATTGTCCTACTTTTCCGGGACCTTCCATACAGCATGTGGTGTCATGGAATTATCATCATGCTATTTTGACAAAATGAGGAAAAGGTGTTTTATAACCTGGACCGCTTTTTGAGAAAAGTTGAAAGTGAGAAATTCATCCAATCAAAGTGTATATATAGTTTTTGTTCTGAAGTACAACTCCCTGTACTCTCACATTTTAAACAGAGGGTAAACTCATGCAGCACCATACTTCTGAATATGAGGAGTGAGCCATAAAATCTTTTGAAAATGTCCCAGCAGTGCAATACCAATATATATATATTTTAATTGACCTGTTCAGGACTTAAAACTGTTTTTTTAGCTAAAACAGTTTTAAGTGATTGTGGTATTATTTAGATTTTCAGCGCATCTGGTCTGAAGTACATAGGCAAACTTATGCAGTACTAGGCATCTGTTGTCTGTCTGTTACAATTTCTCTTTCAAGTTCATTTATTTCCTTAAGCTTTACAACTCATCAGTTGTGCATATATACATAGAGCTGATATGTGATACCGTATGACCGTTATGAAAACACAACTGGACGATTAATATTTGTTTTTTGCCTTCGCTTTGGTCTATAGCTTTCCTTCACCTGGTTTTCACATCTTGGCGACTTACGCAAGTGGCCCGGGCGGGGGAAAATACGGTCCAGGTTCAAAGTCGCTATGTTTACCTGTGTTGCCGAGACAGGGTTGTAATTTTACATGTGTCGTTTATAAAGGGTAGAAAGTTGGATGGGGGAAATGTCATGTCTCCCGGCATATCACAGGCACATAATTTTCGCACAAAGAGACTTATGGGCAACAGGTGTTCATACAAACATAGGCTAGCCTATGTTAGACGGGTGGATTGAGAGGAGATATGTATATGTTGGAGGCTGTACTGTGGAGAGTCATGGCGTGAGAAAGAGAGACCGGGGGAGGGTGGTGGTGGTTAGTGAAGTTAATGTGAGCAGTACAGACCAGCCTTGAATGATTCAGCCAGTGATGAGGGGAAGGCTTTCCCAATCTGTTATCGTCCTTGGCATTTATGGTGACTTGAAAAAGTCATAGGGAGCCTGTATAGGACGATAACCCCTCGTGTCACGATGAAATTGTATTTGCAGTAAAAACAATACAAAAAGGACACTGATCGATAATGTTCATATTCCAACGTCGTACAGGTTGTCCTATACCTACAGTTAGGCCAAAACTTACCATCGGTGGGTACCTCGTCCATGCTTGCCGCAAGTTAATCGGAACTCTTCGGTCTAATAGACTTGCGTAAGTCAATATATTGACAGGAAAATACTTTAATATTCATAGACATTAATCTAACTACATCAATTTCAACTAAACACGTCAATAACATATTATTTAGTTAACATACAATTAATTAATGCTGTAGTAATAGATATAATCGACTTTCATTTACTTTGTCGTCATAACAAGTTGTCTAGCTAGTTATTTCTGATTAAAATGTAAGGGTCGTATTTTTGTTGTTACAAAAATGACGACAGCATCAAATCAACCGATGGTATTTATTGATTATTTACATCGCGTAAGTTTAGAATGGATTGACTATTGAGCTAACACGATCAACTAGGGAAATAATACAAATGTACATAGAATTAGATCTGAAACCAGAAGTAACTAATTCTATAAAATAAAAAATTATGGCCGTGATCCCATCCCATAGCTTTTGTGTCCCCAAATAGAAGACACCAAAGCAAATCCCCAATATTGCAGGATATTTTCCACCTTAGTCGCCTCCTACGATACATGCAATGGGTAACATAAGGTGCATTCTTTTCCCGATCCCCCACCTGCAGGGGTATGCAGAAATGGAGAATTGCTTTTGTCGCCTGCTATTAGGGGACACAGAACACCTCAACACCCTCACATTTGGCTTTAATGCTGAACGTTCGCCTAGGTGAGGAAGGCTTTGGGTTCTGACATACCAAAGTCATTAAAATTGTTGTTGGTATTCCCTGCTTAACGTTCAGCATTCAGGGGAATGCTTTCAACTGGTTAACCCGTTGTCGTCTGTTTACTGGTACCGGACGGAATGCTGTACTACTGCTAGGTGCCTTCGACATGGTATTTCAGTGAGATAGCACTATAAAACCCGCATCTGATTTGCGCTATCACAGGGAGGCAAATACGTCAACTTACCCTGTCTCGCGCACATATGCACGCATACACAACACACATTGAGGCACGTCTTTAAATGTCCTTCCCTGTTAATATGACGCTAAACAAAACAAGAGGCCCAATGGGCCTGCATCGCTCACCTGGTATAAATCTCACACTTGTAACCTTAAAAGTGATCTAAAATAAAGCTACAGGCAAAATTTCAGTATTTATGATTAAAATTCATTCAAAAGACCCTGTTGATTTTTTTTAAAACATTTCACCCGTGTTATTGAAAGTCGACCGAAGTCATTATGTTGACCAAATTGTATAGCCTTTCATCTCAGGATGCAACTTGCAAAGTATCAACATCCTGGGACCCATGGTTATTCAGAAGAGGTCGTTTAAAGATTTTAAACAAATTTGACCCCTGTGACCTTGAATATAAGTCAAAGTCATTCACTTTAACAAACATAGTAGTCCTTGATCCCAGCATGCTACTGACTAAATATCAACATCCTGAGCCTTTTGGTTATTCAGAATAAGTTGTTTAAATATTTTGAACATATTTGCTCCTTGTGACCTTGAATATGATTCAAGGTCATACATTTAAACAAACTTGGTAGCCCTTGATCCTAGTATGCTACTGACTAAATATCATCACCCTGGGCATTTTGGTTATTGAGAAGAAGTTGTTTAATGTTTTTAACATATTTGACCCCTGTGACCTTGAATATGATTGAAGGTCATGTATTTGAACAAACTTTGTAGCCCTTCATCTCAGTATGCTACTAGCCTAATATCATCACCCTGTGCATTTTGGTTATTCAGAAGTTGTTAAATGCTTTTCACATATTTGACCCCTGTGACCTTTTATATGGGAGAAGGTCATTCATTTGAACACACTTTGTGGCCCTTCATCTCAGCATGCTACTGGCCAAATATCATCACCCTGGGCATTTTTTGCTATTGAGAAGAAGTTGTTTAAAAGTTTTTAACATATTTGACCCATGTGACTATGAATATGGGTGAAGGTCATTCATTTGAACAAACTTTGTAGCCCTTCATCGCAGTATTCTACTGGCCAAACATCATCATCCTGGGCATTTTGGTTATTCAGAAGAAGTTTTTTAAGACAATTGACCCCTGTGACCTTGAATATAATTGAAGGTCATTTATTTGAACAAACTTGGTAGCCCTTCACCCAAGCATGCTACTGGCCATCTCCCTGGGCAGTTTGGTTATCGAAAAGAAGATGTTTAAAGTTTTTAACATATTTGACCCCTGTGACCTTGAAAATGGTTGAAGGTCATTTATTTTAACAAACTTTGTAGCCCTTCATCCCAGTTTGCTTCTGACCAAACAGCAACACCATAGGCCTTTCGGTTATTAAGAAGAAGTCGTTTAAAGTAAAATATTGACACCGGACGGACGGACGGACGCCGCGCCACGCATAAGCTCACTTGGCACTTCGTGCCAGGTGAGCTAATAAAACCAACCAAAACGTGCGCTCTCTGCATCACTGGAATGTCATTTTGACTAAATTATGAATGTATGTTTTATAATGTAATTTTGACTTAGTATGAGAAATAAATTATATCTGGTACCTTATTAATCTTTCGACAAATTGACAAAAGTCCATTAGGATTATGCTATATGTTAATGTATTCAATCAAGATTAAGAACAACCTGTCGGAATTTCAAACGTGTCGGTGTTCAAGACGTGGGATATTACTTGGCCGTCGTTACAGTTGCATAGCGCTGTTTGTTGATCAATGCGATTATTGTAGTAGAAGAGGTAAGTTATATTTATTTGGATTGCTGCATCTATAAACACAATTTTGAAAATATGTGCTCGACTTATAGTTTTAGTGATTAGTTTACGTAAGAAGTCGGTTTATTTAGCTGATTGACTACCGTTTCTCGAGTTTCGATGTACCTTCCAGCTTTTTTTTTTACATGGAATGCTAGTTAAACATATGTTTTAAACCGAAATATTTACATTTGTAACGTTATGAAGAGTTTTATATACATATTTCTTTTTCAGTGTACTCTACATATTTCGGAACGGTTTGATTTGGTTAAATTTTGATGTATGTCCTGTAAACAGCCAATGTTATTCAAGGACGTGTTATCATTTATGTAATGCATATGAAAGGGATACTGATTTAGGTGCGTTTGGCATAGTATATCGGTAAAGTTGCAAGAAGGTATTTACTCAACCGTGCACTGCCTCAAGCATACATACTAATTATGCACATGCACCAATAAATCATAAGTCTTTAAATGACTATAACGATTATAACAAGAGGCCCAGGGGCCTTAATAGCTCACCTGGTATTTTATTTTTCAATTTAAAACCTGCTGAGTACCATTCAGGTTTATCAAAGGAGTACAAGTAACAAAGTTGCATCTTC